AATAAGAAATAATAAATGTTTCTTGAGCATCAAATCAGTATATTAGAATAAATTCTGAAGGATCATGTGACACTGAAGACTGGAGTAATGATGCTGAAAATTCAGCTTTGAATCACAGGAATAAATTACATTTCAAAATATTAAAATATAAAATAGTTATTTTAAATTATAACAATATTTCAAAATATTACTGTTTTTACTGTATTTTCAATCAAACAAATGTAGCCATGGTGAACATAAGAGATCTTTCAATAGTACATATATATATATATATATATACAGTGGGTACGGAAAGTATTCAGACCCCCTTAAATTTTTCACTCTTTGTTATATTGCAGCCATTTGCTAAAATCATTTAAGTTAATTTTTTTTTCTCTTTGAATCCGTGGCGGAAGGAAGTAGTTCCGCACAAAAGAGGGTTTTATTAGGCACTCCATTGTTTTTTGTTTAATTACACACATGTTCCGTCGAACTGTTGTATAAACGCAATATCACTCTCGTACTCAAGCGATACCGGCTCTATATCAGCGGCTGTGATTGCCTCCGGCACTCGGCCTGCGGCCTCGTGCCTCTGGCCTAATCACAGCCATGCTGATATAGAGCCGGTATCGCTCGAGTACTCGAGTGATATTGCTCATATATATATATATAATCTTTTAAATGGTAGTGTATATTTAAACCATCAGGAATGACTGGAAATGTGATGGAAATTTGTTGGATTAAAAAAGGTGTGTAGTTAATGTTGGAAAAACAACAACCAATCATGACCCTGAAACTGTTACACCCAGGTGCAAAGTGACAAGTGGCACAATAAAAAAACCTGTGTGGAAAACAGACCAGAGGCGAGCGAAAAGCGGGGCTGCGTGCAGTTAACTTGTATTCTTGCAAATGGAGTAGCTCGAATCCATAAATGTGTTTCCATCTCATTACACTTAGACACAGAGATGCCCGTTTTATTCCTCCCTCAGGAAAGAAATGCAGCTTCAGCAGAGGCTCGGAGTCTGATCTGTACGCTACCCTTGTTTGGGGAGTTACAGCACCAGACACTCAAACATCTGCTAACCGAAGAAACCAGATAGGGAAGTGCGTCCCGTACCAGCTGTGGAGTATGACAGTAGCCTCAGAGGCTTTCAAAACTGCATTACTCTGGCTTACACAAGGAGGCTACTGATTTATTATACTTTTGGGAACAGAAGAGCGGGTTTATCGTGTTACACCATTGGTGATATTCATTTGATGCACTGTAACATGATATAGTACATTGAATTCTGGGATACTAAGATATTATAGATATTACAGGATGACTGATAAAGGATTTTGCAAATACTGATAACCAAACTGAGAAAAGAAATCGAAATGAGTCTGTCAGTTACTGAAATAGACACACACACACACAAACTATTTGCTATTTTCTATTGTAATATATTTTAAAATGTAATTTATTCCTGTGATGCAAAGCTGAATTTTCAGCATCATTATTCCAGTTTTCAGTGTCACATGATCCGTCAGAAATCATTCTAATATGCTGATTTGCTGCTCAATTATTAATATTGATAATTTTGTGAAAACAGTGATACTTTTTTCAGGACTCTGATGAACAAATGTTTACTGTCACTTTTTAAATCAATTTAATGCATCCTTGCAGAATACAAGTATGATGCAAAGCTGAATTTTCAGCATCATTATTCCAGTTTTCAGTGTCACATGATCCGTCAGAAATCATTCTAATATGCTGATTTGCTGCTCAATTATTAATATTGATAATTTTGTGAAAACAGTGATACTTTTTTCAGGACTCTGATGAACAAATGTTTACTGTCACTTTTTAAATCAATTTAATGCATCCTTGCAGAATACAAGTATGCATTTATGTATGTATGTATTTATTAAATAAATAAATAAATAAATAATTTTATGACCCAAACTTTTAAATGGTACTGTAAATGTATCATGATTTTCACAAAAAATATGAAGCCATTTTTTAACATGAATAATAATAAGAAATGTTTCTTGATCAGCAAATAAGCATATTAGAATGATTTATGTATGTTTTTTTCTTATTTTAAAATGGAATTATTTTAAAATTAGTTATTTTAAATTATAGAACTATTTCACAGTATTACTATTTTTACTGTATTTTGATCAAATAAATGCAGCCTTGGTGGACATAAGAGATATTTAATGACAACAGGTTCTGATAAAGTTATTTTAGTTTTTATCTGCACCAATTAATCGGCAAAAACATCTAATTTCTATACGTTGTTAACTCTAAATATTTCGGAGAGATGACGCAATGCCATCCCTACTTTGAATTGTTCTCCTGTGGTCAGCAGGACTATTATTTCCAAAATGAAAAGAGGACAAATGTCAGTTTATCCTAATAAATGTTCAGTCGGGATTTATTTTATCGCTATCCAAGATGTTTTGGCATCTTATAGTAATTGGGAGCTTACGGGGTGACCCCCTGTCTCCTTCCAGACACCTGCTTGCTGGCAGTGTGCCTGCTCTCAAATTGGTAGCTAATTTTGGTTTGTCCCATCATTCCTATAGGGACTAAAGTAACCTGACAGGCTGTTTGTCTACAGGCACACAAAGCGTGTCTTAAGTCGGTCCTCTCATTGGCTGGCCTGACCGGCGCTCTGCAATTTTCTCTCTCTCTAGTTTTGAGAATTGCCATCAGGCCTTGAAGTCTTTGCAGTTAGTAATTAGCAGAAAGCAGTGATTGCATCCTTCACCTACACCCTTCCTCAACCGCTCTGTCTGTCAGCCTCCACTAGTATCATCTTCTTAGTCACTCTGAGCTGAATTTGACTCATTTTTCTTGCTGTTTGACAGTGACAATGATGAGAAGCCGCTGAAGAGCAGCCAGCAATTGTTCACAGACATCAAAGAGGATGATAGCAGTGAGGACAGCTCTACGATGTCAGAGGACGATGGCTCTGAGTTCGACGAAGATGGGTCATTTATCGGCGAGTACTCGGGGTTCAGGCGCAGGGTGTCCACGGAGGTGAACGGACACCCCCCCCCCGTGACCTCTTAATGCTGGTTCAATCTTAGGAACTTTTAAACAATTTTACAGGAAACCGAAAAGTTTGTTTGTATGATGTGCCATGAATTTGCCTAAGTTTTTTAGGAGTTTGCTTTTGCGTGAACGGCCACTTCTTTACAGTATTAATATGAAGGGTGATGACAGGTTATAGTTCTGGCCAACATGAAAATTATGCCATCATTTACTCATCGCTCTGGTGTTTCAAACCGGTATGACTGACTTTTTGAGACGTTTAGCAGAATGTTCACGCTGCTCTTTCCTTACAATAAAAATAAATGGTGACCAAGAACTGCAAAGCTCCAAAAAAGGACAAAAACATGTCTATACCCTTGTAAAAAATAAGTACACTTCAACATATTTAAAAAAAAAAAAAAAATTATTATGGAAATACAATACTTTAAAAGAATATACTTAAGTGCAACTGACTGCAATGTTTTGTAGTGGCCACTATTTGAATGTTATTTGCAATTAGTTTAGTAGTTAAATTTCTGTTAAATCCATTTGAATTTAAGAGTATTTCTTGACCCACTTAAGTAGGACTTAAGTACATCTTTATATGTAACTTCATAATTCTCTTTTCTTTGAAATATGGTTAAAGTGTACTGTTGAATATATTTACGAGCATCTATGGTAAACTAAAATATACTTTAATGTTATTTCTATTGAAACTTTTAATTTCAATATATTTGTAATTACACATTTGTACATTTAAAATCTTTTAACTTTAAATGTAATTTCAACGAACACACTACAGTTAAAATTATAATCTAGTACTTTACAAGTGCTTCAGTATGTTAGTCAACACATCAAAATCTGCATTTCTTTAAAGTAAAGTAAGTTTAAAGCACAAAAAGTGATTAAAACAGTGGTTTTAACTGTACTTTAAAGTAATACTTTTAATTTGACATTATTACAAAGTGCACTTTTAAAAAAAGTCTTGAAAGTGTATTCTCTTTAAGTACACTTAAGTAGCTTTTTATTTTATTATTATCTACAAGTAGATTTAGGTAACACTATTTTAAGGTGTCCTTGTTAAACATGTTACATGTACTTACTATTATAATAACAATTAATTATGCATAATTACATGCAAGTAACCCTAATCCTAACCCTATAGTAAGTACATGTATTATTTAATATTACTCAGTACTTAAATGTATAATTACACTGTAACAGGGACACCTTAAAATAAAGTGTAACCTAGATTTTAACATTTTTAAGATATTACGTACACTACAAGTACACATTTAATTCAATTAAGCACACTTCTTTTTCACATGGGTATTCTTTTACAGTCTTCTCAAACCATACAATATGAAATTTAAGTCATTACTCACTGATAATCTGCTGCAACTATCAAATCTCGTTCACATTTGCACATATTCAAATATGGCACATCAAGACATATCACGGCAAGTTTTATATCAATGATGGGATAAAAAATAAGTCATACAGGTTTACGTGACGGTGAGTAAATGAAGACAGAATATGCATTGTTGGATGAGCAAATAGTTCAGCTCATTTTTGGTTTTATGAAACAATATTTGCCCAACAACAAAAACAATCGGGTTTGTGCACCTTAGAATGAATGTGGATTGCATGGTTGCGGTTGGATTAGGTAACATTTTCACTATTCCTGCTGAAGAAAAATAAATAATTCATGGCCTGTCACAAAACTGATATCTTGACAGCACAATTTTCGGTTACATGTTCGCTTGTGTGGGCAATCACGTAACCTCTCTCCACGCCTCTCAGCATGATACTGACACAATGAAACAAAACAATTATGTTCTGACTCTTCAATATATCTACAAAAACATATTTCTGTTTAACCACATATTTGATTAAAACTGACGTCTGCGCTGCCATGGGAAAGAAATCGACGAGAAAGTTCAACATTGAATGGGTTAAATCCCATATTTTTCTACTTGCACTAATATGCAAAAATACGTTTAGCGCATGTAAGCTACCACCATAAGGGGGATTATGTTATCAATAATGTACAAAGATTGTCTTATTATCTTCTTGAAATGACTCAAATATGATCAAGTCCTTCAATATACTTTTGGTGTCTTGAGCAAATCTTTTACATTTTCTAATCCTGTTTTGCCTCCAAAATGAGATAAAAAAAACACTTCTTCTTGTGTGTAACATCAAAATCCATGTTCCTAATAATATATTATGTCCGGGCCGCAATACAACGTAATGTCAATCCAACTTGAAATCCCACGAACATATTTATTATTACTGAGAGAAAAAAACCCACCTCTGCTGATAAATGAGATGTGATTTTTTTGTAAGATTTTTTTTTCTATTTTAGAAACATTTAGTTGAGAGATTCCAGAGACTGTCTTATTTTGAAAATGCTCTTCTGTTCTTGCACTGTGCATATATGTAGATATTTTTTTTGTAAGTTTTTCTTTTTGCATTTTTATTTTGTGCATTTCATTCTGCCTGAAATATTGCCTAAACTAAAGACTCAGGAGGTTTTATTATAGAATATTCTGTGCAAAATGTTCATCCTTTTATCTTGAAAAATGTTTACTCCCACATTTGCTGTGCTTTGCTATATTTGTCATGCAAAATACAATGAAATGTTGACTGTCAAGACATTTTGTTACACTGAACCTAAATTATTTCAGTGTTCGCCACAGACACATAGGACAATAAAAAAAAAACTTTTAACCAGTTCATAGAAACTTTTTTTTCATTATTATTATTAGTATTAGCAGTTTCTGATTCCAGCACAACTAGGAAAATGCATCAGAAAATGAGGTAAACTGTGTAAAGGGGTTGTAAAGGAGTCAAAGAAGTATTAAGCTTACACACGCTCTTGTGGAGAGTGCCTTGTGACCTTTGACCTTGTACCCTGTGTGTCTCCACAATACAGCAGCGCATCAATTAAAAGACACAGTGGTTTTGAGGGCACAACCTCTGCAATTAAAGCCAGTGTTAAAGCACATCCTGATAAGCCTGAACACGTCCCACATGACTGGAAAGAACCAGAACATGTACAAGAGGGTCACCAGATCAAGATCACTATATATAAAACACACTCAGTGAAGTAGACAGTAAATTGTCTTGATGATTGTGTGGACGTTCAACATTCTTTTGCATACACTGATATACATATTGGTATACTGTAATATTGTATAGATCAGAAGTGAAAAAAAAAAAGAAAATATAAATAAAACAAAACAAATTATTTCAACCAAAGCTATATATAAGATAAAGTTTCATTGTATCTCTCATAAAAATATATTTGAATTAAAATTCAAATTAAAAGATATACAGAATATACAGTAACAATGCACATCAAAATACAATAGGCTTAAAATTCAGCACTCAGTTTGTACAATATGTTTCTCCATCTCGCTATAAACCAAGGAGTCCTTATACTTAAAAAGCTTGGAGACCTAGGTAGAGAGTAAATTAGTATAAATTATATCATATTTATAAATTATATATAATAATTTTACACATACACACACACATATGTATGTATGTATGAAGAATATAATATACAGCTATACAATATTATCTGACTAGAAAATAAAGTCACATTTAATTATATTTTTTAGAGCAGGATGAAAGAAATTTTGCCGTGTTTCAGTGCACAAACACTTAATATACTATGTCAAGCTGTCATGGTAACCTCTGCCTATACTACGGTGTCTTAGACGTTTACTTTATGGCAATTTAATAAAGTTTATGACAACTGAAATAAGGCAAAATACCTGCTATGGCTCTTATTTTTTTAAATCACAGAAATGCTTTTCCCTTCATCACAAATTCCAATTTCAAAGTAATGTCCTAGGCAATTTTGCAATGTTCTTGATACCTTTATAGGTGACTCATCTCTCTAACAAACTGGATATAGGAGAAGGAAGCTGTTAACAGTAAATCCACCCTACTGTATGAGTGTCCCAGCTTAAGTAAAAAACAGACAAATATAAAAATAAAAAAAACCATTGCTTTTAAAAAAAAATAAATTGGTAACACTTTAAGGACCAATTCTCACTATTAACTAGTTGCTTGTTAGCATTCATATTACTAGCATATTGACCTTTTATTATAAAGCGCATATTAAAGGTGGGGTAAGCGATTTCGGGTAGCCAATGTTGACATTTGAATTCACCAAAACAAACACGCACCTACCCCCAAAAGGGTTTCTCCCCTATTTTGATAGCTCCGCCCCACACATACGTACGCAACCCAGGCAACGATTAGTTCACCATATTCTAGATCCCTTAATCATACCTAACCTTAACAACTACCCTACTAACTATTAATAAGCAGCAAATTAAGAATTTATTGAAGCAAAATTCAGTTAATAGTTAGTTAATAGTGAGAATTGGTCCCCAAACTAAAGTTTTCCCCATAAATCAAGCAAGTTATGAGGTTTATGCTTAACAACAAACAATTTGCTACTAGGGTAACAAAGTGTGTTCAACTTAAGACAAAAAAAAGTAAATTGAAATATATTCTCTCAAAATTATTATCATACAGAATACATATTATTTCAGTCTATCTACTTTAAAATGTCAAGTTTAATTTGGTGTGTTACTTGCTATTTCTTTGTGAAATTTACTAGCAATGAGTGAAAATTGCCTCCGTCAAATTCAGCTATTCTGGCCATGTGAGTTTCTGATCTCATGTAGATTTTGCAGGTGAATTGCCATTCTTCCATCCAAAGCTCTTCAAGATTAAATAGGCATCCAGCTATAATCAGATGACTCCATGGCTAAAGCACTTGAAAAGCACCCAATGCTTAGTGCTGAAATAAAGGTCATTCACAGTGATAATCCCTGCTTCGTGCTGGATTATTCTTTCATCCTTTCTACAATTGCTTTCTATGTAGAGCAATGAAACCAACTAAACAACAACAAAAGATTACCCCCACCCCCCATCAGCAGACCTTGGACTTGTCAAAAATAAATCACCTCATCCAAGGCTATCAGGTTCAACATGTAACACACAGGTAAAGTCCAGAGTGAACCACAGTGAGCATCTGAGGTCCGTGCACCTGAATTAGACATGACTGAGGTGTTTCATAGATGACACAAAACATCTCAGGTTACGTATGTAACCATGTTTCCTCGAGGGAACGAGACGCTGCGTCGGGTGAACGCTTTGGGAACGCCTTCTGTGACCACACTCTGAGTCACATGTGTAATCCGTCCAATGGAAGGGCGAGATGTCACAGGCGGGTGACGTCATCGACCAGGAAGCTTAAAAGCACGTGCGGCAGAGCCGGCGTCAGCTTCTAGGAATGAAGCAAGTGCTGGCAA